GGATCCGTATAAATTAATTATTGTAGATTAGGCAACGCTTTATCCAATTAGTGACGCTGTCTGCTTTGTATGGATGAGTACAAGCTTTCAAAACTATCTGCAACCTTAGTTTCCGGTCCACGTTAAGAAACAGGACGGAACAATGTCGAAATACCGAACATAACCGGTAAATATTAATTGAAAATTAATGTACCATTGTTTGTTATTATTGTAGACTTCTAGTGTATGAGAGTGTGAGTCAGGTAATAAGACGGGTCACAACAGAATGAAGACACACCTTTATAAAAAAATTAAAATTGGAGATAGCCCTCTCTGTAGTAGTAGAAAGGGGAACCAAAATACAAAACATATTCTTCAGACATAACCTGAGCTGTAGGACATCAGGAAGCAAATTTGGCCAAACCCCACTGACTTGGCGATGGGGCTGAGGAATCTCAGGAAGACCGTCGAGTTTTTGCTTTTAATCCCGGATCCGAGCATTTCAGGGAAGTTCGAAGATGAAGATGGGAAGAGTGGAATGTGGGAAGAGTGCGCAATGGATTTTTCAAAGTTTGATTTTAAATTATTCTTATTTAAGCCAACTTCTCAATCAAATCGAACTACAATTTGAAGCTGATTATTCAATTTAATACTACTTAGTACGGACATTAAATTTATATACATTATACCGTAATGGGGTATTTGGTCTTCAGTGTAAATAATGAAACTGGAATTCTGTTCTTATATGAGCCTTTCAATTGAAAGAATGAGTAAATCCAATTTCAACGTTTTTGATTATTAATTTTAGCAATATTTCTAGTGGATAAATGTATACCTTTATTCGCAGTTCTATATTTCAACACAGCAATTAGCTGCTCTGAAATCAACTTACTCACTCTCTGAATAGTTGTTATAAATTTTTTCAACTTGAAATATTACTAAAATGACCTCGCTCAAAAATTTAGAAATTGGAGTTTTAGTTATTCTGTCAACTGAAAGGCTCATATGGTATTGGTATTTTTTTTAATGGGAAAAAAACCTAAAATGTCGCAACAGTTAAAAAAACAGTTGGAACAGTTTAAAAAAATATTTATTTTGGATTTGAACATTTTCTATCTGCGAATAATTAAAACATTTTTTTTTTTTAACATAAATTCCCAATATCGTAACTTAAAAGGTATTGATATTGGATTTAAATTTTAGTGACGCTTTGAGTAAAATATTTTTTCACAATTATCTCAGTTCGAAGTAGATTCTCAAAGTCCTCATATTTTTCAGTGCCTAAATTATGGGGGGATGACAACCATCTCTCTTCCTACCTCTCATATGACGATACATGCATATGTATCCGTTATGATATTGCAAATAATAATAGAAAAAAAAATGGACCTATCGTACATCCTCGTGAAATTCCAGGTATGTGTGGTATGTAGAGGAACGTTCACTCCCTTTCTGAATGTGGAAATATGATAGGAATTTATGTTGAAAATGCATTTGTATGTCAAGGAAAATGTAATTTCCATTCCATTTTAAAATACAACTGAATTAAAAAATAAAACTATCAAAATAATAAACTCAACACATTACAAGGTAACGTGTAAGAATAAAAAATCAACTGGCTTAACTTGCATATATTTACATATATGTGGCAGTTAATATTGTTGAATTTATAGTACATACAAATTTAATATTTTATGTGCATATTTATTTTAGTAAGACTAGGGGGGAATCCAACTGTCCACCTAACGACGGACAATCCCCCGTTTTACAAATTATACAACTGTTAATTCAATTGTACTATTCGTTGCTCAAATTATATAACTGTAATATACATGTATACTGTAGTTCAGTATTTTTATTAACATAAAATAAACGGAACGGTCAACGAAATTGGGCAGTTTGGCCTTTATAATCTGGTTATTTTGTTATGTTGGGAATGTAGCGGACCAATATTTTTGTAGGCCACCTATGTTCTCAATTTTGTTATCAAATTATCTTATGATTTAAGTGAAAAGCAAATGGGTCTTCAGGAGTTTTTAATAGATAAAGTTTACCCATCTTTAGCTTGATAACGCCCCGCTAAGAATTTTCGTAAATAGAAAATTTTTAAGTTACGATAAGTTCAAGCTTTTCCTGAACTTTTAGACGGATGTTAATAATTTGATAAAACGGGGTCTGTAGAGCGGACTAATAGTTATTCCAAAGAAAACATATAATTCGATAAAAGTGATCAATTATTATACCACTTTTTTTGTTATATTACCCCATAACACACCATTTGAAACATATGGTGGGAGGGGAGCTTGTTATAGAGGTACAACCTATTCTAACCAGAGTGGGAAGGTCGAGATTCATTATTATTGAATGAATGAACAACTTAAATTTTGATTTAAAATTACTATCTCTATAAATTATTATCACCTCCAAAATATAATTAAAAAATTATAAAAACTGTATTTATTATAACTATAGTAAAATTATAGTTATTACTATTTCATAATGATAATTGGTAATAAAAATTAAAAAAAAATATATTTCTTTACATTTTTATGTATTATTTCATGTGATGATACCTGTGATATTAATTTTGATTATCATTATCTTATATGAATTCAGATTAGTTAGCGATTCGTTATTAATTTTAGTTTTTTCGCTTTTCACGAAGATTAATTCTGGACTCACAATAGATAATTGAACATTTCAGAATAAAAAAAAATTATTATTTACAACCAGTTAGACACATAAATAATATTAAAAAAATAATTCATTTTCGCTCTTTATTTTACGAATGAATGGATTTTAAAATCGTTTAAAATAAAAAGATATTCAAAACTTTGTAAATATCGCTACTGTTAGTGCAAAAGGTCTTCTGCAACAATTTTCTATGTTGATTCTATTTGTGCTAAAGATGATATTTTCTAGTCAGCTACTATGTAAAATAGTATAGTGAAGTAAAATATGAAATTATAGTAATAAATCACAAATAAATAAATAAAATAATTAGTTGTTATGCTCTTTTTAAAAAAAAAATCTCAATTCGTACAAACCTTTTGCACTAACAGTAGTGATACGTAGAACTAAGTAAAAGATTAGTCTAAAAAAAAAAACCTATATAAAATAAGTTCAACTCATCAGTTCATGAAGTATTAATAACTTTAAATGAAATTTTCATTAATCTTAGAAGCATTATAATGTTGCTATATTATTATAAAATAAAAAAACATTTTAGAAAATATTACATCAGATGAAGAATAATTGAAGTAGTAAAAGTGCATACGTAACATGTATCCAGCATGATTTCTAAAAATTTCCACCACTCACCTGAAACAGAAAAAGATGGGTTTATTTATTTATAAGAATATATATTTTTAATATTTTTTTTTATTTATTTAGAAATATAATAATCTGCCACGGGGACAATAATTATAGTGAATTATGAACACATTCACACCATATATACAGAAAATATAAGATTAACAAAAGTAAAATAATAATCAAAAACTATGTACAATAAAAAAATAAAATAACCTAAAGTTTAATAATATTAACGTTATGATATAATATTTTCTGGTTAATTATCTATTACAAAACTAATTTTATTAAATGTTAATAAAATTTATAATTTAGTTCCCATGAGTTAAGAGAAATTTCTGTTTCGACGTAAACATTTGCTGATGAACAAATTGTAATGTTTGAAAACCGGGTCATTGATATATTGTGGGTCAAATATACTCTATATCTATTGAGTGGAGGGGCCATCGCTCTGAGAGAGCGAGAATTTCAGCTCTACTACTAATATTTTAAAGAAAAAAAAAAGATCAACATCAATAACAATTAATCTATATGAATGAATAAAACATGTAAACTAAATTCACTTACGAAAATAGGAAATTTTATTAAATGGCTAAGCTAAGGGCTAAAATAGGTTCTTATTATTGAAATTTTAATTGATACTCACAGATAATTATATATATATATATAATTATCTTTATATATATATCTTTATATCTTTATATATATACAGATAATATATTATATATATATATTATTTATATATATATATATATATATATATATATATATAAACCTGTACCACTACAACCCATACAGGGTGTGGGGTTCAGTACTATTTAGGGAAAGCACTGTTTCTAGGTCAACGGTTGTGCAAGGAGGTGATTTGACCAAGATCACGCTCAATTCCCTCTTAATTAATTATTTAATTAAGGTTACCCAGTTTATATAGGCTGGGTGTGCCCCAAGAGGGTCTCCCGACCCAGAATCGCCCCACGGCCAATGAAACAGATAAATAAATTTTCTGCCATGAGCCGGGGTTCGAATCTGGGACCTTTGCATTGGATGCTCCTCCTCTAGCTATCCTCGGATTTTATGATTCATTCATGTGCACTCTTCCATTTTTATGTGAAGATTTTATAAGGTTCCCCGTGGCAAACCTAATATATAAATTTATTTTTATATAAGTCGTTTTACAATCATTATGTTTGTTATGATGATTATCGTTCACAATTTTTATACATTATATAAACTCCCGAGACTTTTTTTTGTTCTTGGGAGTGTCCGTTGCACTTCCAACCAGAATTGAATGTCTGCACATATCGTAACAATCCAAAACTCTGACAGTGAAACAAATTGAAAATATCTTACATCAATATGATGTTAAGAAAAAAAAAAAAGGCATTACGTAATTTTAGTTTATAATTTTTACTTAATTTTCTGTTTTATTTAAAGGAAACCCAAAATTTGGTTAAACTAAATCTATAAGACGTATTTGGAAGAAAGAAGAGAAAAATAGATGCACTTTTTGAATTAATTAATTCATTATAATGCACATAATTTGTTTTCATAAATTATTTATTGAGAAAGAATTTTTTATCTCCATTTATAGATTGTTTACTAGGTCCCGTTGATGTCATTTTGTGTAGTTCGTGTGGCCCTAAATTCCTGAAAAATTTCTTGTACATAACTAAAGTCCTATTGAAGCTACTACATTTTTTGCGATTTTCGAAAAAAAAAATACATGTGAGGAACCCAAACATTAAACCTGGAAACATAGCCGAGCTTGTGCAAATTTTTTTCTACGCTTGTGTGCGACACAATCTCTCGCACTAATTGGGTGGGATTATGATCAACAATGTCCTTGTTTTGGCAACCAATTTTGACAGGTGCGTTCGGTTATGGCATCATTCCCATAAACAGTGCAAATTTTTCTCTGAGCTTCTGCATCACGCCTACGTTTATTAAAATAATACAACAAATCATGCAAATAATGAATATTTTCTTCCATTTTCACAATGCAATAGCAAACGCAATACTAAGTTAGTTTCAACAAGAGTTAACAGATATAGTTGTTGACATATTACAAACAGAATAAATAATCCACCTTAGGGATTTATTCATCAGATAAGAAGTGGCATAAAAATAAACAGAAAAACCGAAAGGACTTATTTGCCAATCCAATAACTACTTAAATACAAACATGATTTTATACAATGTTTACAAAATTCATTCACTCAAGATCTACGAGCCAAACGTTTCCTCCATTCGTGAAAGAAAAGGCAGGAGTCTAGGAGACCCTAGCGCATTTCACCCATCCAAATTAATGATAAAAATAATCTAAATAAAGAATTTATAGTTTAATTAATAATTCTAAATGTTTCAAATATAGTAATCACTATGTTGTATGTGTTTCATTGTAATTTCGCACCCAAAAATAAACCATGAGGTTTCTTCTTTTATAATTTTGGCTCATGTTCTATCCTCTTTGCGATATTTTGCCGGTGATGTAGTGAAGACGGATGGAGCACTTTGCTAGACGAAGCAGGGACGCTTAGCAAGTGATTGAGCGACCATGATCCTCCAGCAACTTGTTCAACAACATTAATAACACTACTGGGCCCAGCACCATTTTCTCAATTCTACTTCAATCTACAACGTTAAAGGAGAGATATCCGGAAAATACTATTTTCAAAGATGGAATTTAAATTAAAATAAACAATAATTACCATAAAACGCATGAATCATTTACGGATTTATTCATCGATGCATCGAAGACGACTGCTTACACACAAAAATCGACCTGATCGCAGGCGAAGGTTTGATTGTAAATTACGAAAGTGTGTGTTATTCTGAGTAAAAAGAACCTTGTCTGCCGTCCCAGAGCAGCTGATTTAATGAATATTAGGCCAATAATTTGAGGATCGAAACGGGAAATCCATTGCGAAAATGGGAGGTTTTTTTTTATTTTTTTAACTTGTATATATATAGGTTTAGACATGTGAAAAACCAAATTGCTAACTCGGGCCACAAAGGAAAACTTTTAACAGCCCAAAAAGTCAGATATTTTTTTTATTATCTATAACTCCAATAAATCTATCTATAAATCTATAACTCCTAAACAATGTATCAAAATCTCAGTCTAGCCTGTTCGGTCTTAGTGAACAGATCGTGTCTGTACTTCAATTAGTTTTATTCTTAACTTCCAAGTTTCATTGAGTTTTAAATTACTAAAATATCTAGTTAGTATATTGAAGTATCAGTTTCTAAAATTTCGTCAAATTCGGACGATTGACTTCGAAGTTATTTGAAATCTTAACTTAGACGAGAAGGCAGCCATTGGAGGAGCCACCTGAGCTGATGCCGTGGAGGGGATTCCCATTGACAAGAACTCTGATGGTAAACAATTGCTAATACCAACTGCTGGTTTGCAAAGCTGCAGGATTACGACGACGCCCTGGTAAACAGTCTACATTCTGGTATATTAAGCAAACATAGTCTCATCCTTTGTTGTGACGGCCGGACCGGCTGGACTATTAATATATCATATCTTTGGTAGAATATTTAAATATACAATAGTAAAATTAAATAGAATTCTATTAAACACTGTTGTATTACGCGCTTTTTAATATTTTTGTATTCTATTTTTACGGATCGGTGCTACCTTCGTTAATAATCTTGGTAATTGTCTATTTGTTAAAATTACACTTTTTAACAAACGTCGTCATATTTTTTTTTTTTTTATCTTTTTAACCACGCAGGACAACTTAGAATAGATTAAATCTATTTAAAGCATTGTTTTAACCTCTATTTATTCTTTAGTCTATTGTTTCAGCTAGTAAATATTACTTTTTACTTGACATTTGTAGAATTTATCTCGACAAACACATAGTGCGAAATAAGTCTTGTTTGTTATTGTTAATAATTAAACTTAGAACTATTATTACATTTATGTTTCTTTAACTACTGGTTATATTGTTTTATCGCATATGGTTATATATTTTTATCTCGTCGTGTATAGTTAAAAAATGTATTATTGTTGGTTTTAAATCTATTGAGTGATCTAGAATTATTATTATTTTTACATTTCGAATTAACTATATAGTTAATTGTTATTTATTTAATTATTGTCTTTTTATTATTTTATTTTATTTTATTGTATTTATATATTTCTTTTTTTTATTTTTATTTATTTATTTATTTATTTATTTTTTTGTGTTTGTCTATCTATTTATCATTAAATTATTGTTCTTTCATAAGTGAAATATGGAAGCGAAGAAAGGTCGAATTAGTAACAATTCCAAAAAGATACGGCTTCACACGATCGAACCCAATGAAGTACTGCTACCCACTGAAGAAAGTTTGGAAAATGGAAATGAATTAAGTGATCCTATTGTGATGGATCATGGTTCGTCAGATATAATTAAACAACCGGACACTCACTCTCCTATTAAGCTACATTTGGACTACGCTGGAACGATTAAAGATGTGTATGAGAATCAATCTTTATTATCGAATAAACTCACTGATATTGAAAAAGCTGACCTGGACCCAGTCAAGCTTTTAACTATGGGCGCGGAAAATGAGAGGAAGATTAGAGGAGTTTTGAAAAAGAAAACTAACAGTATTAAACCTGGGGCGGTAAAGGAAATCACAGCGTGTCTGGATGCCTTGTCTTTAATAGTTTCCCACTTAAGCTTAGCATGTACCTTAAAAATGGGTGAGTTGGAAGGGCTTAAAAATCAAATCAAATGTGTTTCAGAAAATGACTCCTTAAATGCTGAAAGTTTAATAAGATTAGAAGAAAATTTATCAGATGTTATTAAAACAAATAATAAAATTTACAGAAATACTAAAAAAATATTAGGTAATGAAAACGCAATAAGTAAGAATGAAATTAGTAACAGCCCAAACGAGTCAATTGATGGACTCATTGGAAATAACGATAGCAATAATACGAACAATTATGCCTCCTGTAAAATACCACTAATAAACGATTTCCGGATGTCCAATGCTATTTCTATTACTCCTGATCCTAATGGAAAATTTAAAGACTTGGAGGAATTTAAATCCCAAATAAAGCTAGCTCTTCGGCCTAAGAGCAAATGTCTACAAATTGATAAAATTTTCAATACCAAACAAACAGGCTTAGTAGTTATAGCGGGGAGAGATTCCGATAAGAAAGCTTTACTTAAAGACCCAGATATATCGAAACTCGGCAAGGTATCCGAAACAATTAAGCTAAGGAATCCACGCGTAATTATAAAAGGCGTACCCAGGAAAGTAGAAGACGCAGAATTTACAATCGTAGAACTGATCGAATGTATCTTGGCTCAAAATGAAGAAATTGAACTAGGCCACCCTGAAGAGTGCAAGCTTGCATTTTACACTGGTAGAAGATCAGAACCGAGAGTCAACATGGTCCTGGAAGTCAGCCCACGCTTAAGAAATATGCTCGTATCCAGAGGACACTTATACTTAAATTTAGATATTTGTAAAGTTGAGGACTTTAAAGATGTGACAAGGTGCTTTCGTTGTCAAAGATTTGGGCATGTGCAGTCTAAGTGTAAGCACGAGGAACGGTGCTGTCACTGTGGTGCTCATGGACATAAAGTAGGGAATTGTCCAAGTTTAGACCAGCCACCAAAATGCGCGAATTGTCAGCTGAAACATAGATCGTCGTTTTTTCGATGCCCAAGTCGGAGTGAGGCAATTAAATGGTTCATGAATCTCACTGACTATGGACGACAACGTTAATCAATGTCCCCGCTGCGACAGGAATTTTGGCACTCGTTCGGGTATGGGTCTTCACATCAAGCGTGCTCACCCCGTCTTCTTCAATGATAATATTAACACGGATCGGAAGAAGGAGCGTTGGACTAGAGAGGAGCTTCAATTACTAGCTCTGAATGAAGCATCACTGATCGCTCAAGGAGGAAATGTAAGGATTCGGGACCTTGTCGATATGCAACCCGGTAGGTCTATATGGAGTATACGAAAGGCTAGAACAAAAGAACAATACCAGGATCTCCTTCAGAGAGTCATGGAAGGACGTAACGATGAAGCCGCAGATCCTAACCCAGCTGTTGCCATAAATAATGGCACCACGGATAAGCAGGAATTTCTGAAAGCAGCCAGAAACTTATGCCAGGAGATAACTGATCCTAATTCAGTATTGGCTTCACTTTTGGAGATTGCAGAGGAGGAGGAAGACATTTCGGAATCTCTTAACGCATGGCTCGATTCAGTGGTGAATGTGAAAAGCAACATTTCAAATGAATCTGGTGAAAGATCATTGCCCGCTAATTCTACTGTCAGAAGAAGGGAGCAGTTCAAGAAGATTCAAAAATTATGGACAAGAGATAGGAAGAAAGCGGTTTGCGAAGTGTTCAACGGTACCACAGCCCGTAACAAGCACAATATTGAGCAACTCGAATCTTTCTGGAGGCCGCTGATGGAGAGAGCATCATGTCCCAATGTGCCGGATACGCCAATTCCGCATCAGAAGTTGTTTACATTATGGCTGCCAGTTACAGTTGATGAAGTCAAATTAAACGCTATGGACAAAAAATCATCAGCGGGACCCGATGGTATCACTGTAAAGCAGTGGGAATCTGTTGCCCCCTTACATAGGGCCATATTTTATAATATATATCTGTCCAACCCACCCCACTTACCAAAGTTAACTGCGGCCCGGACTATATTCATTCCGAAAACGGATGATCCCGCTGGTCCTAGTGAATATAGACCCATCACAGTTGCTTCAGTCCCTCTTAGACAAATGCACAAGATAATTGCAACTCGTCTAAACGAAATGGATTTGCAT